TCAATCCCACAACCTTGGGATCATGACCTGAGCCGAAAGCAAGAGTCACACACTCCACCGACTGAGCCACCCAGGCTCCCCTAGCCATCTTAGTTTTAATACATGCAAAAACTCCAGAATTTGCATAGAAACAATGGATGACTGTCACTCTCTGTTTATGTGTGGCAAAAAAAAACCTCTTTAAGTGTGGGTAGTGTATAAATGTGTGTGCCTGTGAAACTAAATCTGAGTCAAACTGCTGTTTGTTGTAGGTTCCTGTGCGCTGGGGACAACCACGAGTATGGCATGGCAGAGACACTGTTCTTAGTAACCTTTGCAATTTTTCCAAAGAAAAATTAGTGGGGCACTTGGGTGGCTCAGTCAGTTGAGCATCCAACTCTTGATCTGATCTCAGGTCTTGATCTCAGGTCATGAGTTAAAGCACTATGTTGGGCTCCACACTGGGCATGAAGCCTACTTAGAAAGAAAATTAGCAAACCTTGCAATTATCTCAAAAATGCTCTGTTACAGCATATTGTGCTGTTATGGACTGAACTGTCTTCAAAAGGTCCCCTGACTCCATATGCTGAAGCCCTAACCCCCAATGTGATGGCATAACTCCCAGAGGCCTTGGGAGACAGGTTAAGATGAAGCATGAAGGTGGATCCCTCATGAGTGGGATTAGTGCCCTGAGAAGAAGAAGAAGAGACATCAGAGCTTTCTCTCGCCACAGTGTGAGGACACAGTGAGAAAGCGGCCATCTGTAAACCAAGAAGAGAGCCCTCACCAAGAACTAAATCTACTGGCACCTTGATCCATCCCCCAGAACTAAAAGAAATAAATATGTTATTATAAGCCACCCATGTATGACATGCTGTTACAGCAGCCTGAGGTGCCTAAGACATGTATGAAATAGAATCCAAACAAAATCCACTCAGGTTAATGGGCTATTGTGTTTCTTAGGCCTCTTTTAATTTAGACCAATTCCCCTCCATTTTGTCATAGCTTTGCTTTGCTGAAGAAATCAGGTAGTTGTCTTGTAAAAGGACCCATGTTCTAAATTTGGCTGAGTGCTCCTCATGGCATCTTTCAGTTTATTTCTCAACCCCCTGTATTTCCTACAAATAAAAACTAACTACAGGTGTTGATTAGATTCAATTTCAGTTTTGTTAGCAAAAAGACTGCACGTGGTGCATAACATCAGGAGGTTCCTGATGTGTGGCTGTCCCACACATCTTTCTCTTCCTCCTTCCTTTTCTCTCATCCTTATGAACCCATTGCTTTTCACATGCTCAAGTGTCTTAATAAATACCTAGCTTGTTTGCTTTATTACATGATCTCATTAGCCTTTCACAGCATTCTTGATTTATGGTCCACCAAGATGTCCAAGCTCACTTCATCTATTTCTGCCCAGTTTTATGATACTTCTTTGTATTATTTTAGTTGATATACCCACCATTTGTCTCTGAATTGGGGATCAGGAAAACTTGTGTTAGCAATGGCAATGGGTTAAATTGTCCTGGAGGTGCCCTCATTCATAAATTAATTACCAATGGGTCACTGAGGAATTGAAGATCAGCACTGAAACTTGTAGGAATAAATATGAGCAATGCTAAAGAAAAACGAGTTTTAAACCAGACAGTTTTTTGAAGGCGTTGACCTTCATCCTTGCCTAGTTCACTTGCTGCTCCTGGAAGAAAGGCCTGAAGACTTCCAGGTCGTGAGCCCACTCTCATGCCTACCTCGGGGCCACCCCAAACTGGGTTGGATGTGGACTGTCCCCCAGTCATTTGTCCTGGGGCCATCTGGATCTTCTTCATCCTGGGACCTTTTTCTTAGCCTTCCCCCGGCCCTACCAGGGAATTCCTGATCTTGCCCAGAACCTGAGTCTTGTTCACCCCATCAACACCCGGTGCCTCCATGATTTCCATACCTTATTCCTCTAACTTTTGGTTTTCAAAATAAAACTAATTTGGGGCATCTGGGTGGCTCAGTCGGTTAAGCGTCAGACTTTGACTCAGGTCATGATCTCGCGGTTCGTGGGTTCGAGCCCCGTGTTGAGCTCTGTACTGACACCGAGCTCAGAGCCTGGAGCCTGTTTCAGATTCTGTGTGTCCCTCTCTCTCTCTGACCCTCCCCTGCTCACGCTGTCTCTCTCTCTCTCTCTCTCAGAAATACATAAAACATTAAAAAATTAAAAAAAAAACAAAATAAAACTAATTTTTGTATCATTGGTTTCAAAAGTAATGCCTACTAATTGAAAATGAGATCATAAAACACAGAAGCTAGACTAACATGGTTTCATCATCCAAAGCTATCTGTCCTTGCAGAATTATTTACTATATGTCTTCACATGAGAAACAATTTAACAAAAAAATGTGGTCAATATACATGCATGCTGCAAGCACATTCTTGACACTATTTAATTCATTTAAAAATATTCATTAGTTATATCAAGCACGGTTATTGGTGATGAATGATTCCAGAACAGTAAGCATAGATTTATATCATTGTTTCCAATAATACAAAATATCCCATAGTATAGATACTCCATCATTTGTTTAACCAATGTTTTCTGACTAGACCTCTATTCAGTTTCTGATTTTTTATTAAAATTTTTTATTTAAAATATTTTAATGTTTATTTTTGAGAGAGAGAGAGACAGACAGAGAATGAGCAGGGGAGGCGCAGAGAGAGAGGGAAACACAGAATCCCAAGCAGGCTCCAGGCTCTGATACACAGGGCTCAACAGAGGGCTCGAACTCATGAACCATGAGGTCATGACCTGAGCCGAAGTCCGACACTTAACCAACTGAGCTGCCCAGGGACCCCTATTAGAATTTTTTAAGTGCTACATTGAGGGTACCTGGGTGCCTCAGTCAGCTAAATGTCTGACTCTTGATTTCAGCTCAGGTCATGATTTCATGGTTGTGGGATCAAGCCCCACGTTGGGCTCCATACTGAGCATGGAGCCTGCTTGCAACTCTCTCTCCCTCTCTGTCCCTCCCCTGCTCATGCACACACTCTAAATAAATAAATAATACAATGAAATCCTTGTACATATATTTTTGTAAACCCCAGAGGTAGAATTTCTAGAACAATGGTTTTGAAACTGCAAGGTCTCTCTAAAAAGCAGCCATGACTTTAGTCTGAAGAAAGAATTTGTCCAAAAGTACCTCCATCTGAATAACAGTAACTGCAATAAAAATGATAAAATTTTTTGGTCAATTTCTCTTAAGTAAAAGACCACAAGTACAAAAAACACAACAAAAAAAGACTGAAACATAAACCAGTTTTACTCCAAAACTTGTGCATTAATCACTATTCTGTCTTACTCACCCACCCCTCAGTCTAAATAGTACCGTTGGACTCCCACTCAGTTCCTTGAACTTTCCTGAAAGTTAAAATGCCAGTTACTTTTCAATCCTGTTGACAAGTCTGAGCTCTGGAGTTGCTGCTCTAGTTGCCCATTCACAGCTGAGCTGTGGACTTGACCCAAACTCCTCTGAAAATTAATTTTAACCCCAAATTCCTGTGCCCTATTGAGTACAGCAGACTGCCAGCTCCTTCTGAAACCTATAGGAATACTGAGACGAAGATCCAAGAGCTATATGCCAGCTCCTGCGTTCAAGGAGCTCACGTCTCTGGGAGGAGACAAATAAAAACAGAAAAACGTAACACAGCATGATGAGTCCTAAAGCCAGTCTGGGCACAAGGTATAGAAAGAACATAACCTGTGGAGACCAGCAATAAAGCCAGAAGAATGAGTAGAATTTTTGTGAGGTTTGAAATCTGGTAACTCTGGCAATCACTCGTTTAAATATTCCAGCCATGTATCAGCTGTTGTGCTCATAACTGAAAAGAGAATTGTAGATCTTTACTGGACCTGGAGAGTTAAAAAGCATGCGGTGCCCACAGACGGTCATGGTGCTGCCCACAGAGATGCCTGAGGGGCCAAAAGCAGGAAGTTGAACTCTGCATACTCCAGATTTTCTGGGAGGGACAGCCACTTCTTCCCACATGGCGCGTCTTCCTTCCCTTGCAAGACCCTCGTATTTGCCTTAATACGATTAGCCTCCTGCAAGCTGCCTGGAAACCAAAACACCTGAAAGCCTCACCCAGCTCTTGTCCAACTGGCTCCGCCTTCCTGGATCCCACCCAAGTTTCAGTGCCTGCATATACAAGTATCCATTTCGTGAGTCTATGGATGATCCTTTTTGACTCTTAATTATCCCGGTATTGGGCTCTGACCTATAAATCAGTAAGCAATCAATAAGCACCTACTCTGTGCCAGGCAGGCTGCCAGGTATTAGAAGCCAGGGGTGCACAGTTCCCAGCCTCTAGTCTATGGTCTAGAAAGGATCAGGTGAAAAGAATAACTGTTATGGATGCTAGAAATGCAACTAAGCATAAGGTACAGGACAAACACAACAGAGGACATTGTCACATTCTTGGGGTCACCTCCAAATAGAATCACTATAGAAAAGATGATGTGACTCAGAACTAAAACAAGGTATTCCTAGATGGACTAAGCTGGGGGCGGGGGTGGGGGAGATTTAGGCGGTAGAAACAAAGCAGGCAGCTATGATGGAAGCAGGAAACAGTGCGGAGTGTTGGGAGGATTTGCAAGTTCTTGGGTATATACTGTTTTCCAAGTTCCTTTCATTTGTTGATTCGTCTGGAGTTTTTCCCCCCTAGTCTTCCATTTATAAGGCTTTCCTTCCATGTCTAGTAACCCTTGGCAATCTGCCCCTACTTATCAGTGAAACGCTAAGCCCTGGTGAGAAGCCCTGTCTAAGAGGGCAGGGTCTGGTACTCAGTGATCTTTATCGCAGTAAAACCCCTCAATTGCTACATGGGCGACTGTGATATTGTGGTATTTTTGTTTTGTTTTGTTTTGTTTTTTGAGAAATAGAGCAATGGAAGGTCTTTTATTCATCATGTGAACAAAAATACGGAATATATCTACTAATTAATTTTCCCCTAAAGAGAATATGCTTTGTATTTAGAGAAACAAAAGATTAGTTGTCAGGAGTTGCTTTTGGAGAAAGATTAATCAGCACCTTATCAATCGTCAGATACTGATACCAGGGACCATCACCTCTCTCAAGCATTAACCTTTGTGTTTCTATCTCCTGTAACCATAAATCAGCCTTTTCAGCTTCAATTTGAGGGATAGCCATTGGTTTTTCTTTTTCATAATTCTTTTCAAAGTCATCAAAGAGAGTTCTGGAAATCCATCTTGATATAGTATGCTTGAAGTATTCCCAGTATTCTGTGATATAGCCTTCTGGAATTTCTGCTAACTTGGCTTCACCAATGAATATATTCACCAGAGTTATGCCAATTGCTACTAGAATCCCAGTCAACAAAATGTAGAATTTCATTAAACTCAAAAAATGCCTGTCATAGGATCCAGAAGGTTTGATGATAAACAGTCTTTTCCCACGATCTCTACTGTGTCGCACAGTAACAACAGTCTTCCGAAAGCCACAACTGAAGAAGCCGGCACCAATTGAAGAGCACCAAGCCGGCAGCCTCGAGAGAGAGAGTAGCCTTGAGAGAGCAGCCACTGCGGTGACTGAAGCTCGCTGCAATAAACTCACAGCCACCATGGCTACTACAGGCAATTTCACATCGTGGTTTATAATCAGAAACGTATATATTTGGTCTTCCTCGTGGTTCATGACACAGAGCTCCTAAAACTCTTGAATGTCCTAAGTATAAGAGTCATTGAAGTATCTTGACATTCATAATAAACCCTTTCAGCCACAACAAGATTTATATTAATTAGGTGACTTATGGAAAGCCCTTAAAGACGGGAGCTGGTTGCAGAGGAAAATCATCTGACTGGAAAGCTGGAACTTTTAGCCCCACACCCACCAACCTCCAGGGAGGGGAGACGGGCTGAAGGTTGAATTGATTGCCAACAGCTAGTGATTTAACGAATCATGCCTATGTGATAAAGCCTCCATAAAAACCCAAAAGGACGGGGCTCAGGGAGCTTCTGGGTTGGTGAGCACAGGGAGATTCAGGGAAAGTGATGCCCCCAGAGGGACATGGAAGCTCTGTGCTCCTTCTCATGAACCTCGTCCAATATATCTCTTCCATATAGCTTTCTCTTATAATAAATGATGATCTAGTAAGTGAACTGCTTCTCTGAACTCTACATGCTACTCAGGCAAACTAATTGAACCCAAAGAGGGGATTGTGGGAAACTTCAATCTATAGCCAGTTGGTCAGAAGCACAGATGACAGCCTGGACTTTCAACTAGTCTAAAGTTGGGGGAAGGGACTGTCTTGTGGGACTGATTCCTTAATCTGTGGGGTCTGACCTTGTCTCCAGGAAAGTAGTGTCAGAATTGAGTTGAGTTGTAGGACATCCAGCTGGTGTACAAGAATTGCATGGTGGCATGAAAAAGCACACATCACAAAGGCCATGTTGGGATGGTCAGTTTCCCCAGAAAGAACCCTCCAACCTTCAGGCTGAGGGGAACAGTCTGGTTGCTAATGTTCTTGAAGGGCAGTGGAGGAAGGGTCCAAGACTATCTTGCATTCTGTGTATAGACTTTTACCTAATTCCCCATTTCCACGGCTTCATCCCTGTCCTAACCTCTGTTTGGGGGTGCTCATTTAGAGTCTGATGGGAGGTTCCTGGGTGGCTCAGTCGGTTAAGTGTCCGACTTCAGCCCAGGTCATGATCCCACATTTCGTGGGTTCGAATCCTGCATCGGGCTCTGTGCCGACAGCTTGGAGCCTGGAGCCTGCTTTGGATTCTGTGTCTCCCTCTCTGTGCCCTTTCCTTGCTTGTGCTCTGTCTCTCTGTCTCCCAAAAATAAGTAAACATTAAAAACAATTTTTTAAAAAAGAGTCTGCTGGGACAGGGGAGTAAAGTCATCTGTCTTCAGAGGTAGAAGAGGATTGGACTCCACCTGCCTTCTCTTCATCAGTGAAGACACAGTGCTTTCCCTCATCTCAGCACAGTGTAGTGTCTGCACCAAAGTCAGGTTCTAGGTTCAAATCCTGTTCTGCCATTCATAAGACGTTTCACTTTGGACACATTGCTAACCTCAGTAAGGTGTAAAATGGAAGTGAAAATAGTATCTAGCTCATAGCACTATTCTGAAGATAATATAGCACAATGAATATTGAATGTTTGGAGGAGCAACTGACACATAGCAAACCTTCGATAAATATTAGATCTTTTTCTAGATATTTCTCTTCCTCAGCCTCTTTTTTTTTTTTTTTTAATGTTTATTTCTGAGAGGGAGAGACAGCGTGAGCAGGGGAGGGTCAGAGAAAGAGGAGACACAGAATCTGAAGCACCTTCCCCAGCCTCTGTAAATGCTCTCGCTCATCCCCTCTTCCCCTTTCCAATCCCATTTGTCATTCCTCAGTCAGAGTGAACTTTTTACAACATAAATCTAACCAGTCAAGTCCATCCTGATTTATTTGGAACTGAGGGGTTTTAATTGCTAAAGCCTGAATGTCCCTGGCAAACCAGGAGGAGTTGATCACCCAAGTCACTCCCTTCCCAAAGAAGATGTACAGTCTTCCCACTTCTCTGAGTAAAGTACAAAGTCCCTGCAGCTCAGAGTCCCGGGTGCCCTGGCCCCTGCCCTGCAGGCTGTCTGCTCCGGGCCCCTCAGGCTCCTCCACAGCAGACCACTGTAGAGCTGCCCCCATGCTCTCCCATCCGCCCAGAACTCTTTCACCCTTTGTCCTATCTGGCTACATTGTGCTCTAGGTACCTGTCAGGAAGACCTTCCCTGAACCCTCAGATAAGGCCACATGCTCTGTAGCAGGGATTCCTCGGGAGAATGTGTCTACAAGAAAATCATCTCTGCAGGGCCTGCCCCTCAGTAAGATCAAAGTGGTTCTCCGCTGAACCAACCAAGTCATCCAAAGTAAACAGTCCTTCATTATCTGCTGACACTTGCTGGTGACTAACCAGCAGCCAACTGAGATCAAGATTCTGCCTGTGACACCAGATTTAAAAGGAGCTGCTGGGGGAACTGGAGTCCAAGGAACAACTCTGCCTCCTCCTCCATCTGCACCAGGTAAGAGGGCTCCAGAGAAACCACTACCAGCCTTAGCATTTCTTAAAATCCTCCTCATCTCGGGAATTAGGAACCTTGCCATCCACACCCCTGCTCTCAGCCCAGGATTTGGGCTGCACCTGTCTTGCCATAGGCACTTGGAAAGCGTTCCTGTGACAGATTAGTCTTGGATGTTGGCATCCATGAAGAACAAGTCTTGTAATTTTACTGCCCAAATTTGCCTTGGCACAATCTGCCACGGTGCCAATCTCAGTCTCTTCTTCCCTCTACCTCCTACCTCCCACCCAGGCCTTGCTCAAGCCACTCCAGAACCCAGCAATACTTTCCCTCATCCCAAATTCTGCCCCTCTGGACGCTCTACCCCTGGGGCTCAGTTTCCTCACTCAGACTGGGGGCTCCCACCTGTGACCTTCTCTCCAGATCCTGGTTCTCACCTCTAGTCACAAAATGCAGAAGAAAGGACAGGTGTGCCTTTGTCCTGGCTCCTCAGAGATTAAAGGCTGGGAAGGCAGGGAGTAGGGGATTCCATTACACCCACCAAGGCAGGAAATGAGCAGGGGCAGCTTCAAGTGGCGCTGAGCTAGCATGTCAGAGAAGTTTGCCTCTGCCTTCTGATCAGGGCTTTGACCTGAGCTCCAACTCTCAGGCTCTAGTGGGAGCGACAGTGGCCACGATCTTTGTGAGCTCTGTTGCGGGGTCCAGAACCTGGTGCCCATCACAGCAGATCTTGTCCAAGGCCACCCACCTGGTTTTATGCACAGTACCTCTCAAGGCAGCACAAGGGAGAGAAACAGCATTATTTACTCAAGCTTGCTACATGTTCTGCGTATTGTGAAATGGTCCTGGACATAAAGAGACAAGATACCTACGATCTTCCACACTAAGGTCCACTCCCTTTGGGGCTTTGTCTCTGTCACCCAGCCAAGAACTGAGATGGGTGTGATCACCCAACCAGCAAATACTGGCAAATTACTCGGTGCCACAGGTCTAATCCGATTAGTGCTGTCACTTCCCACCTCTCCACCTCACCAGCTTGGCTGGATTTGCACGTACCTACAATCAAAGGAGTCACAAATCTGACCACAGTGACAGCTATAGATTTTCTCAAAGGACTCAACCTAGAGATTTAACGAAAGCACCATGTATAAATCTTTCCAGCTCCCCCCCCATCTCCCAGTCCCTCCCTGCCCCCTTGTCCTTCACCACATCATCCTTCCTGGCCAAAAGTAGCCACTCAGATTTCTATCCCTCCAGCCACAGCCAGGCCACACTGGACAGCAGAGACACCCAGCAACTACATGACCTGCCTCTCGCACTCTGCAGACACCAGGGCAGCACCCTGCAAGGTTTGGGTCTACTTAAAAGACAGTTGTATTCCTAAATACTAGCAACAGTTGGTAAAGTTAATAATGCCATTTGCTATAGAATGAAAACTTTTAATATCTAGGAGTCAACCTAATAAAAATGCATCAATTCTAAAATGTGTTTTGAAGAAGATAAACAAGATCGTGGACTTCCCTACCAGACAAAAGACTTATTATAAGGCAGTGATTATTAAGATACTGAAGTAATGACACAAAGATTGAGAAACAAAACAGAAATCCCAGAAACGGAGCCACACATAAATGGACACGTGATCTGCAAGAGAGCGGGACATTGGGCCGGACACAGAAAATCAGCAGGACGTGGCAGCATGGTCAGTACATGGCCCTGGAATAATTAGTTGTCCACGTGGAGAAAAAAAGTAGAACCAGATTCCACTCTACATTACATAATACACAAAATGTGAGTTCCAGAAGTTTGCATACTGCTCAGACTCGGTGCTACAAGCCTGTGCCCCGCCTCCCACAACTCTGCCCCTCAGCTCGCAGTGCTGGTGGACCTCAGCGAGGGGCCAGGCCTCTCAACCTGCAGGAAGTGGACGAGTGGCCACAGCATCCACTGCGGGCCAAATACAACGGGGCAGGAGTCAACGAGCCGGGCAAAGTGCTGACACCCACCCAGGTTAAGAACTGGCCCACCGTTACTGCATGGGACGGCATGCATGGCATGGATCCAGGTAAACTCTACACCTGGCTCATGACATATCCAGACACTCCCGGCAGGAAGGACTGCAGGGGCGCCTGGGGGGCTCAGTCGGTTGAGCGTCCAACTTCGGCTCAGATCATGATCTCACGGTTTGTGGGTTCGAGCCCCGCGTTGGGCTCTGTGCTGACAGCTCAGAGCCTGGAACCTGTTTCAGATTCTGTGTTTCCCTCTCTCTCTGATCCTCTCCTGTTCACTCTCTCTCTCTCTCTCTCTCAGAAATAAATAAAACATTAAAAAAAATTTTTTTTAAGGAAGGACTGCAAATACAGGGAATGGCACCATTTTCTGGTGGTCAGCATGAAGGGTGATGACATCACCAGTGGGACAGTCTCTCCCGTTATGTCACTCTGGGCCTCCCAAGCGCACAGGCCTTCACAGCTGGTCTGGCTAGTTTATAAGCAGAATGGGCCACTGAAGTGTGACAAGCCCATTCTCAGCAACTGATCTAGAGACCACTGTGCCACATT